CTCCCATTTCAGTTCATCACACAATCACAAGAAATCCCGGCAAGGGAACATAAGTAATATAATAACTTCCCGGCAAGGGAACAAGGATATCGAAATAGTCATCCCGGCAAGGGAGAATCAGCTATAACCAATCTCACTTTGCTAGTACTCAGTTCAATTAATGGAAATACTTAATCATAGAGGATCATTAATTAAAGTATACAAGGTGTCGTTCAAAAATACAACAACTTTCAAGTTAAGACCCACGATCATGCTTGACACCAACGTATAGATACTCGTTACCATACCTATACGTTGTACTCAACAAGAAGCAAGTAATAAATATGACTCAACTCCTAATCCCTCAAGCTAGGGTTAAACCAAACACTTAACCCGATGCCTTGAACACCACTCAAGTCTCAATTATAGCTTTACCTCTTGATCCCACCACCAATCCGCTCGAATCTAGTCATAAATTACTTAATCACATTAATAAATGCTAAATGAATCGACCCCAATACATGAAAATGAGTTTTCCAAAGTTTTACCCAAAAGTCAAAATTCACCCCCGGGCCCACGTGGTCGCAACCCGAGGTTCGGACCAAAACCCGAATTCCCCCACAAATTCAAATATATGGTTTGTTTTGAAATCAGATCTCAAATTGAGGTCCAAATCCTTAATTTTAGAAAAAACCTAGGTTATACCCACATCACCCAATTTCCCCATGAAAATCTTTGATTTGAAGTTGAAATCATGTTAAAAGATATTAAGAAGTGAAGAAAATAAGTTAGAAATCACTTACCAATCGTTTCGGAGAAGAAAAGTTGTTTGGAAAATCGCCTCTTATGTTTTGGGGTTTTGAAAAGTGTAAAATAACTGAAATTCACGTGTATTTATACCCCTATGAAGTTCCCACCGGGCACCACGCAAGAAGGACCGCGACCGTACAGGCTCCCTGAAGACCTGCGGATCATTGCCCCGTGCGGACCGCACCAAGCCGACTGCGGCCGCACAGCACCTACCGTGGACCTCTCAAGGCGACCGCGACCACACGTGATTGCTCGCGGACCGCGCAAGAGGGTTAGAGACCTGTCAAAATTCCTGAACCTGCAACATCTGATCTTCTAAAGCCTAAGGCATCCCGAAACCTACTAGAAACTCACCTGATCCCTCGAAACTCTAAACCAAGTATGCACACTACCTCAAAAACACCCTACGAACATATTCGTGTGATCACATTACCAATATAACATTATGAACATCGAATTGAGCCTCAAGATCCATGAAATTTCTCAGATTTCCTTTTAAACATCAATTTTCCCAATTTGGGTCCGGATCACGTCAAACGACGTCCGTTTTTGACCAAACTTTACAGGAGTGATTCAAAACATATATAAGACTCGTACCGGGCACCGGAACTAAAATACGGCCATGATCTCATTGCTTTCTAATCAGATTTCATTTCCATTTTCTTTAAACATTTTTAGAGAACAATTTCACTTAAAAATTTATAACTCGGGCTGGGG